GGATAGATGGATAGATGGATAGATGGATGGATGGACGGATGATAGGTAGGTAGGTAGATTATAGATAGATAGATAGATAGTAAAACTGTTAAAGTGTAATTGTAAATAGTATATATATGTATGTGTGTGTATATACATACATACATACATACATACATACATACATACATACATACATGAGAATGGAATAACCGATGTCACAAACAACTGCAAAAAATGTATATATTTGTTTTTAAAGTTGCAAATTCAATAAAATGTATATATAATTTAAAAAGATAGATAGATGATAGATAGATTATAGGTGGATAGTTGATAGATGTATATATGTATGTATATATGTATGTATGTACCGTGTTTCTCCAACAATACGGCCTCCACCAATAGGAAGCCCCACCATGTTTTATTGGCATAAAATCAAATTAAGCCCCTCCCCCCAAATTAAGCCCCATATTAAACATGCGAAAGGGGGGGGGGGGAGGGGGGGGGGGGGGCTTGCCGTTGGTAAGTACTTTTGTGGCATGCCCGGATATGGTGCTGCCTGCGTTGGTGGGGCACTTCATATCGGGAGACCTTCCACCGTTGCTTCTCCCTTCTCCCTTGCTGCCCCTTCTCCCTTGCTGCCACGGCGTTTGGCGCAGCCACGTGTGGCCAGTCAGGGCTCCTCCCTGCAACCGGAGCCCTGAGGAGACACTTGGCTTCAGGCGCTCCCGTCTTCCCTTTGCTTTCGAAGGTAAAGCGAATTATTTTACAAAGCCTCCCCTGCCCGAGAGGGCAGCCCAACCCCACGTGGGGAGGCTAATTTCCCGGGGCCTCTTCCGTTTCTCCCCGACCTCCCTACGCTGCGCGCCTCTGACGCGCCGCTCCCTTCAGCCCAGCGAGCTCTTCCACCTCAAAGAAAGGCCAGGCGGGCGGCTGCGGAGCAGCAGCAGCGGGTCTGAGCCGCTCGCAGCGGAAACAGCCACCACCCATAGCCCGACGCGGGGAGAACGAGCGAGGTTAGCGGCCGCCAGCCCGGGCGAGATTTGGGAACGAGGGGCAGGAGGAGGCACGCACACACCCGCGGCTCACTTTCCCAGCTTTGCCCAGCCCTTACGGCTCTGGCGCGGCCCTGGCGGGCAGCGAGTGCCTCCCCGCCGGACCCTCCGCTCATCCTGCCAGGGATTCTGGGAGTTGAAGTCCACAAGTCTTAAAGTTGCCAAGGTTGGACACCCCTGCAGTCTAAAGGAAGTCAAGAAGTTGTGGCTTTTTTCATCACATTTCTGACTCCACCTGACTCCAGCTGCGCAATTTCCTGACAAAAGATATTAAGAGCAACCAAGAGAGGAAATTCATGATGGCAAAAATGTCCTCTTCTATTGACTGCTTCACAGCAACCTCTACCTGAAGGGTGACTGAGATCCATTGGAAAAGGAATTTCAATTTCTCCTATTTCTTTCAAAAGCCATCTAAATTGGTGGCCTCCACAACATCAGGCAACGTAGGATTCCCGTGCATTTTTCCTTTATATTTCTTCATAGTTTCAGCATAAAGTTGGTTTTTTTTTTATTCCCCTAAAGTTCCAGATCTAGTGAACATTTTCATTAGACAATTTACTGCGTTTGCAAATTCCTTCCCTTGAATGATCTCTACTGGATGAAAATCCTAAAACGATACCATTTGACCGAGCGACTGGCTATTTCCTACCAGACAGCTATCAAAATGGCAGCATTTCTTACGGTGAAAGATTGGAAATCCCAAAAGGGATCACAAACTTTAAAGCACCACTATAAAGGTAAAGGTGCCCCTCGCACATACATGTTAGTCATTTCTTGCTCTAGGGGGCAGTGCTCATCATCGTTACAAACTCAAAGAGTCCGCACTGTCCAAATATGTCTCCGTGGTCAGGTGGCCAGCGTGACTAAATGCCGAAGGAACACGGAACGCTTTTCCCTTCCCACCAAAGGTGGTCCCTATTTTTCTACTTGCATTTTTTACATGCTTTCGAACTGCTAGGTTGGCAGAAGCTGGGACAAGGAACGGGAGCTTACTCCATGATGCAGCGCTAGGATTCGAACTGCCGAACTGCTGACCTTTCTGATCGACAAGATCAGTGTCTTAGCCCCTGAGCCACTGCGTCCCTATAAGTGGTTAATAAATAATCAGCCTGATAATTAACAATGTTGGAATGAGGAAAACGCTGTAACAAGGAAACAACCATGACATCAAGTTTTTTTTTTTAATTTAATATGTAGCAAATGTTAATGCGGAGGAGAAAATAAAATGCAGGAAAGGATAAGAACAGCCATGTTAGATCAACCATGACAGAGTCCCGCTCCATTTCCAGACCAGGTAGCAATGGTAATGCCACTGTGAACTACCAGCGTAGCTGAGGATGGGCAGAGTGTAAAATTGTTCAGCTCTGCTTCAGCAACCACAAAGGTTTGTGCTGATTCAGAGAACTGAAGTATGACCACCACCAGGGCCTCTCCCGTGGCTGGATGGATTGCTCTCTGTTCTTCCGTAGCTCCGTCTGAGCATGAGGATCAAAGTCTTCCAGAGGATCATACACTTGTCTGGTGGGAAGTTTTCTAAACTTTCCATTGAGGGCTTGCAGGACAAAATCGACTCGACCAGCCTTGGCCATCTTGGCAGGCAGAGTCACCTTCTTCAGGACTTTACTGTAGCCCCTTGCCTGGGCACTTACGATGTATGTGCCAGGGGGCAGAAGTCTCCAATAGTCTCCGTCATCAGCTAAAAACAAAACAAAACAACCATAGGTAAAGGAAAAGTTTCCCCTCGCACATTCATTCCAGGAGTTTCTGTTACAAAGCCGAAGAGCTAGTAGAACTCCTTAGCATCAGAGCATGTTAATAACAATAACAATAACAATAATAATAATAATAATAATAATAATATAGGAAATACTCCAAATGCTCTGATGGTCATTTTGAAAAATCCTTTCTTAGTGAGCACCTAGAAGCCAAGAGGAACATACGGGCCCAATTTCAAGTTTGTAGGCTTTATGGTTCTGGAGATTTTGTGATGATGCGTGAGTGGCATTTCACTTTTATATATATAGATTTTTGGAATGCTTTTTAATTCTGTAATTTTTTTCCCCCTTGCAATTTTAATATTGGTTTATTGTTTTTAGATTTTGCAATTAGAACAAGTTGGGATGCAAATATGTGAATCAATCAGTACATTATTTTGTTTTCCAGGTGAAAAATTGTGTAACATTCTAGAGGGGAAAAAAAATCTAAACCCAAAAGTTGAATTGCACATTTGCTTCTCCAAATCTGTTACCTGTAAGAATATCATGGCGGATGCCTTTGACTGAAATTCGGGCGTTCTTGATTGGGTTTCCAAATTTGTCAGAGACAATTCCTTTTATGCCACGATGAACCTGCCAAGAATCAGAAGAACGTGATTAAGAAGTGATCCTTTTACGTTCCTTTCTCATTTCTGTTCACACACAGCCTCCATTGCCACCCTCTGCTAATGTAGGAGGTTGTGCATGTTTCCCCTTTGGTGCTCAACCAGTTTAATGACAGAATTTTGTGAATTCTAGTTCATTCATGCTTAAGAAGTCTTAAGAAGTTGCTGTAAAACAGGTTGTCCTCGAGTTATGACCACAATTGAGCCCCAAATTTATGCTGCTAAGTGAAACATTTGTTAAGTGAGTTTGAGGCCGTTTTATGAATTTTCTTGCCACAATTGTAAAAGTGAATCATTGCACTTATTAAGTTAGTAACGCGAAGTGGTGGTATTCAAATTTTTTTTTACTACCGGTTCTGTAGGCATGGCTTGGTGGGCATGGCATGGCTTGATGGGTGTGGCAGGGGAAGGATACTGCAAAATCCACATTCCCTCCCCACCCCACTAACCTGCTTTCCAGCTCCGTTCTCCTGTGCAAGGCAACAAAAGAAGACCCAGCCAATCAGCTGGGACTCAATGGGAGGCAGAGAAGAGATGAGGGCAGGACCAGTCAGAGGTGGTATTTGCTGGTTCTCTGAACTACTCAAATTTCTGCTACCGCTTCTCCAGAACTGGTCAGAACTGGCTGGATACCCCCTCTGAAGTCAAAGACTACCTGCATATTTTTAGGAGCCAAAATAATGATATAAATTTGATGAACAAAGTTGACCGCTGGTTAAACGTGGGAACAGGAGCTCAATGGTGTATCTGTTTGGGGTTTCTCTCTTCGGAAACACTTGGCCGTGATCACTTGGGAGCAGCTGAGGAGGACAAGGCTCCTTTGGCAACGCTCACAAAGTCCACAACCGGCAGGCCACATTTGGAACTGGGGGTGGAATACTTCCCCCTTGCTGATCTCTGAAGGCTGCAGAATAGATCTGGGTGATATCAAAGAATAGGCAGTGCCACATTTGCCACCCTTCTGGAGAAATGGGACAGGTTATGTAGTTGGAAATAGTCATGGGATTCTACCGGTTTGCACCGGTTCTAGCGAACCGGTAGCTCCAATGAGCAGTTGGCCCCCACCCTTTCCTGTCCTATATTTCCTTAATGTTTAGCTCAGCTGATGCGCGTGGCAGAGCGGCTTGCCGCACCTCAACTGTTTTACTCACCAGCGCTGACATAGGCAAGTTTTTAAGCTTAAAATGGGTGGCTTTTGAATGCTGCAGAGCGCACACTCCGGTTGTTAAACCAGTTGCAGCCCACCACAGGTAGGAAAGTATTTTTTTCATGAACCTCACAAATGCCTAAATATCACTCCCAAAAAGTCAGGTCATTGAAAGGTGGTTGCGAGATTGAAAAAAATGTTCTGGAGCAGGAACACAAAAATGGGCCTCTCTCGTCTGTTTTATATTCACCCCCATTTTATTCCTTGCGATGACGTTTGTGTGACATCCTATCGTACCCCCAAAGGAAGAAAGGGTGGAATCTCTGTAGCCAGCTAAAAAAAAAAAAAGATTTTGAGGCTTATGTTGGGAAGATGGAAAGAATTCCTGGTTGATGACAATATGTTGAATGGAAGGGAAATTCTGTCTCATCCTTGCCAGGTTAGTCCTTGGGCCAAAGTTGGCATTGCCTGCAAACTTTTACCAGCTGATGATGTATCATCGTGCATGAAATGCCCCTTTCTCTAATCTATGGCAATGGAAAAAAGAGGGGGGGGGAGGGAGGGGGGAAGCCATTTGGTGTGAAATGTGCCTGTGATCCTTTTGCTTAATCTTGTTGCTTTTAAGCCTTGATTGCTCCCTTGGGAGGTGAGGTCAGGGCTTGGGGATAACAGCTGATGAGTACATACACAATAGGAGTAGGTTGGCACAGTCACAGCTAATATAGGATTTTCCCTCTCAAAGCCTTCAAGTTAAGACGTAATCCACTTCCATTTGGATTTATGGGACAGATTAGCTGAAGACAAGATTAAAACCAAGTGGAATCCAATTTTATTTAAGGATAAAACTACAAGCAGGAATTGTGGCTCACAGAAAGCTTTTAAACGACCTGGAAAGAAAAATGGAGGTTGCAAAGAAAGATCTGTGAGAAGAGACCACTAGGCTGGGGACCTGGTGGACCCTGTCCCTTTAGGGAATTTGTTCCTGCTCTGATCACCTGAGTCCTTTTTAGAAAACTGAGCTTTCTTCTAGTGGAGCTGGCCTGGTCATTCGAAAAAAAAAGACTAAAAAAAGAACCTCCACACAAAACATTAGATAAAAGTGGTGGAATTCAAAATATTTTACTACCGGTTCTATGGATGCTTGCTTTGCCGGTGTGAAGAACCAGTGCAAACTGGCAGCATACCACCACTGGGTAATATATGACAACATCCAACGGGTGTATCCACCAGAGAAAATAGGCAGAGATCCAGGAAAATGGATGACCTTCCCAAGTCCCTACGGATGCTTCTGCCAACATCTATTTTCAGGGCAGCAAAATTAAGGACATTATTATATGGACGGTCGTACGAAGCCTAATTATTTCAGCTTAATTTAGGCTTTGTGCTAACACCTTCACTTTGGTTACCTGGATCTGTCAATTTTGGGAATGCAGATCCTGAATTCGACTCAAATGCCAATTTTTGGATGGATTCACACATCTTCCCAAACGTACCTAAGACTGAAAACTGCCAGAATAGATTCGGCAGGGTATAGACAAAAAAAACAAAAAACTTCCCAGGAACAGAGTTGGTATTCAGCCAGTTCGCACCAGTTCAGGTGTACTGGTCGTGGGAATTTTAGCTAGTTCAGAGAACTGGCAAATATTACCTCTGATTGGCCCCACCCACCTGCCCCCACTGTTACCTCTTCTATATTCACTTATTTTTTTTAGCTCAGCTGATTTGCACGGGAGATTGCTGTGCCTCAGCTGAGCTAAACAACAGCTCAGCTCACCAGTGGTGACACAGAGGGTGGTCTTTGAGCACTGTGCCCATGCGCGAAGTGCAGGATCATCAACTCCTCTAGCTGCTCTTTGACAAATATTTTTCAAGAAGGCAACAGGCAAAAGGAAGAGTTGGTAAAAGAACACAGGAAATTGGAGGGGGCTTCTGCTTACCACCTGTTCATGAGAGAAGGGGCTGGCATCACAAGGTAGAAAAGGAATACAGGTAGTCTTTGACTTACAACATGTGATGACCCAGGGCATGACACAAAAATAACAAAATCAAAAAAGTAGAATAGATTCCCTTTAATGCCTCCAACTTGGCCCCCAAGGTCCAGTTATCCTCAGCTGCAGACCAAACTCTTCAAAAAACAGTCTATGAAGGAAAGAAATGCAGTCCGAACCCAAAGTAAAGATAATTAGAAATAAAAAACCAACACAAACCACAGTGAAGTAATTAACACGGCAGGCCAGGATGATAAATTGCAGACTTTCAAGGAAAACGCAGCACCCACAGTTGGGAGGACACCAAAACCTAGATAAGCCTTGACAAAGAAAATGCACGCTTTGCTTCCAGCAAGGAGCTGGAAACACCCCACTTATATCCTGTTCTCTCAGCTGCAACTAATGAAAGGGATCAGGGCCCTTTTCTCTCTCGTAAGCCACATTGCTCCCTTCTCTGTTCCTCCCCGCACATTCCCTAGGATGAAGAGGGAGTGGGCCTGGGTCTTCCTCTGAATGCCCAGCCGGACTGTGCCCTTCCCCTATTTCTTCCACAGCCACCAGAGCCACACTCCCACTCCCTGTCAGCTACTCAATCTCCCCCTCAGAATCAGACTCCAACAAGGGCATGACACAGCAGTTCATTTAGTGGCCCTTCAAAGTTACAACGGCACTGAAAAAAGTAACTAATGGCCATTTTTCACACTTAAGACTGTTGCAGTATCCTCGCGGGCTCATCAAAATCCAAATATTCACAGTCAGTGGTGGAATTCAAAATATTTTACTACTGGTTCTGTGAGTGCATGCAGAGCATTCTAAAACAGGCAATTTCAAGCATGAAAACTTACCGTCAGTGCTGGTGAGTAAAACAGCTGAGGCGTGTCAATCTGCTCTACCATGCCTATCAGCTGAGCTACAAACAAAGGAAATATAGGACAAGAAAGGGCGGGGTGGGTGGGTGGGGCCAACTGTTGACTGGTGCTACCGGATTGCTAGAACCGGTGTGAATCGGGAGCATACCGCCACTTTTCACAGTGTCCCAGGAGTCATGTGATACTACTTTGTGAACTTCTGATGAGCAAAGTCAACGGGGAGCTCAATTTACTTCAACAGGTGCAGTGATTCCCTTAAGCACCGTGGCGAGAAATGGTGGTCATAAAATTGGGCAAAGCTCACTTAACAATTGTCTTGCTTAGCAACAGAAATGTTGGGGCTCAGTTGAGGCCATAAGCCTAGGACTGCTTATAATCAGCTATTTGTTCAGTGGTATGGTTTGCTTTCAGAAGTTGTGCTGGAGGTTTTAAGAAGGGATTGGATGGTCATTTGTCTGGAATCATATAGGGTTTCCTGCTTCAGCAGCGGGTTGGACTAGAAGACCTCCAAGGTGCCTTTCAGCTATGTATTGTATTGTATTGTATTGTATTGTATTGTATTGTATTGTATTGTATTGTATTGTACCCTATCCTATCTTATCCTATTCTAGACAATTCTAGTCAATTCTATATTCTATCTCCTCCCATCCCATCCCATTCAATTCCATTCTTCATTCTATTATTCTATTCCATTCTTCATTATTCTATTCTATTCTATTCTATTCTATTCTATTCTATTCCTATTCCTATTCCAGTCTAGTCTAGTCTAGTCTATCTTCTCCCATCCCACCCCATCCCATCCCATCCAATTCCATTCTTCATTTCATTATTCTATTTCATTCTTCATTCTTCATTCCTCTCTTCTCTTCTTCTCTTCTCTTCTCTTCTCTTCTCTTCTCTTCTCTACTCTACTCTACTCTACTCTACTCTACTCTACTCTACTCTACTCTACCCTATCCTATTCTACAATTCTAGTCAATTCTATTCTATATTCTATCTCCTCCCATCCCATTTAATTCCATTCTGTATTCCATTACTCTATTTCATTCTTCATTATTCTATTCTATTCCATTCCATATTTCATATTCTATTTTTTATTTTCTATTCTAGTCAGTTCAATTCTATATTATATCTCATTCTTTCCCATTTAATTCCATTCTTCATTCCGTTATTCTATTCCATTCTATTCCATTCCCACTGACTGTAAATTTGTTCTAGGACCAAAGAGCGAACAAACTCTTGTTTGTAGTGAAGAGGCCTGTGACAGAAAGAAGAAGAAAAAGAAGAAAAAGGGCGTGTGTGTGTTACCATTTCCATGAATTTCAAAAGAGCTTCCTTGTTCTCTTGCCACAGTTTATACAGCTCATCAGCCAAAGGGAACTTCTCGCACCCAAGCTCCACAGTAATCTCAAAGCAGTTTGTGTGGAGATAATTAAAATCTGCCATTCCTGGAAAAAAAGAAAAGAAAAACACCAGAAGTTTGATCAATCGATAACTTTTAAGCCCAACTTTCTTCCAACGGGAACAATAAAATTATGAAAGGATTCCTTATTGTAAATAACACAACGTTGGTAGCCAAACAGTTAACTCACAAACAAATACAAACTAAAAACGCAGTGGTTAGATTAACCTGTTCTGGAGATCTCCAGATCACCAACTACCCTGGCCACCTGTATCTAAGAAAGGCTTCAACAGATCTTGAAGATACAGCCCAATTTCCTGGCCTAAGTACTGGGTCTAAGGCAGAGCTGCATGGAGGGAAGTATGATCGGGCTTTATTAGCCTTCCAAGCCTGCCGGCTTTGTGATCGTCAGCGCTGGTTTTTGCTGCCCGCCCAATACGCTGAAAATGATGGTGGTCGCAGGCTCGCCTATGCAGCAGCCAGACTGTCTTTGGTTTGGGGCCTTGTAAATTATTCATGCCTGCATTAGCCCAGCTGGCAAGACATATGGGTTTTTCAATGGCTATGGCTCCACCGAGGTAGCACCCGGTTTGTAAGTGGCAGGTTCTCTCTCGCTCACTTACGGAGAGATTACGTGGGTGAGCTGCTTCTCTCTTCTCTTCGAGGCCTTTTTTCCCACTCCTACGGCAATGTAGAACAAAGGCATCCAAACTGTTTGGAGAAGTAATGGAGGAAAAAAAACCCAAACCACCAGAAAGTTTTACCTCCAGTAAAGCTGTACCACTCCGCCCCGTTGATGATGCCTCCCCGTTTCACGAAATTTCCCCCGCAACGCATTTCAGATTTGTCCGAGATGCCAGGATGTGCATCTGCGTAGGTTCTAGAAAGCAGCTTGAACATCTAAAATGACATGAATGGTGTTTTTGCTTGGCGGATTAAACTCTTGATATTTTTCAGTGCATTCGGTTCACGGTTCCTGGCAAACTTCTAGACCAGTGGTCACCACCAGTGGGCTGGGGACCACTGGTGGTCTTTGAGAAAATTTTGGTGGTCCACAGAGAAATGTCCCCCCTCCAAAGAATTAATCCAGGCTGTGCGGGAACACAAGGCTGCACCACTCAAACAGCCTGCAGGAACCCAAGGCTTGCATCGCTTGCATTGCGCACAACATGAGGTAGTGAGGGGAGGAGGGAAAGGGCAGAGGGGGGGAACTTGCCCCACTCACCCCACGCACCTGGCCTGGCCACTGGGATGCATCTTTTTGCTTCTTTCTTCTTCTGCTTTTGGCTGCAAAAGTCTTTTTTTCTCTCCCCCAAACTCTGCCAGAAATGAGTCTTTGGGACCCTGCAAGGCCTCCTGCTCCAAGAGGCTGTGCTGGCAAAGACTCATTTCTGGCAGAGTTTGGGGGAGAGAAAGAAAGACTTTTGCTGCTTCTGGTGCTTTCCTTGTATGAAGCCAAAAGTCAGTCAGTCAGTCAGTCAGTCAGTCTCTCTCTCTCTCTCTCTCTCTCTCTCTCTCTCTCTCTCTCTCTCTCTCTCTGAACTGGAGACGGTAGCCTGCAATCCCAAATAAAGAATGATTGAGAAAATCGGGGTGGGGAATTTTCCTGCAGACTTTTTGGGGGATTTTCCCAGGGTCTCTGATCCGCAGGATTTAAAATTATGAGTTTGGTGGTCCCTGAGGTCCAAAAGGTTGGCGACCCCTGTTCTAGACATCTCCAAAAGCCACTGGGCCAGTGGTAGTATTCTTTTTTTTTTATTTAAATAAACTTTATTCAGTTTTCCCAACAATTTAAAGACATAAAAAAACAATTGCATCAACACTGAAGACATCATTTACATTTCTTAACCATATTCTTATACTTAATTTTCTATTACATTGCAATTATTACATATTACTTTTTCTATTAATTCTCTATTCCTTACTCCTTGCTTATACCACTTGTTACATAGTGCATTTTCTGTTAATTCTACATCCAGTACATATAGCTTCATATTCTTTAATTAATTACAGTACTACTTTTCTTTCTATTCTCAAACCATATATATCAGACATCCCAGACTGAATAATACATCCATCCCTCTCTATCTTTTAACTCTAAAGCCAGCCTGTCCATTTCTGTGCAGTCTAGAATTTTTCTTATCACTGCTCCCTCCGGTGGTTTATCTCTGTTCTGACCCAAAAGGAGAGGAAGGAGAAGGAAGAGGAGGAAGAGGAGAGGGGAAGGAGGAGAAAGAGAAAGAGAAGAAGGAGAAGAAGGAGGAGGAGAAGGAAAAGGAGGAGGAGGAGGAGAAGATGTAATATATACTATATACTATATCAATGCGACTCTAGGTGGTTTACAGACAATAAAAACACAATGTAGAAAAAATAAAAATGATAAAAAAATAACCAAATAATAATCAACTAATAAGCCCTGACCTCCTCACTCTTTGATGACAACACATACCCAAATCAACCATTTAATGGGTTCCCCAGGCCTGTTGGCAGTACCATGTCTTCCGAAAGAGTGATGGAACGGGGGAAGCAGTCTAATTCCTGGAGGGATGATGTTCCAGAGAAAGGGAGCAAAAGAAACCAGCCCATGTCTCTTTCCTTTTCCTCGTCACATTCTCTTTATATTTTAGTCGAGTATTTTAAAAACCTAATCACGTGGCGTTACCTTCTCATCCGGGGTTGGAGAAAACATTTTGTCTTCGGTAGGATGCACCGAGTAATCGTAAGGATAAGAAACGACCAAATCGCCTCCGTGGAGACTGGCAGACAGCACAAATGGGATGGACTTCATCCACTTCATCACGGCTTTGGTCTCCGGAGCCACCTGAAGATCAGGAAGAAGGGATAGAATGCAGTATTGCAGGCTGACTCTGCCAAATGTCAGCAGTTTGATCCTGACCGGCTCAAGGTTGACTCAGCCTTCCTTCCTTCCTTCCTTCCTTCCTTCCTTCCTTCCTTCCTTCCT